AAATAAAAATAAACAAATTAATTAAAAACAAAATGGTATAGAATAAAATAGAGTGGAGAGCAAAGGAAATATTTTCAGGAAATTTGATTTGAGTTGCATTGGTATTTGAGTGTGTATTCACCAGCCACAAGTAAAGGCCCACAAATGTAGGATGCTCAGACTGGGAATGTCATGGAATTCATTCCTCCTCTAATAAGGTTATGTAGACCCTAAGACAGAAAATTTGTCCTAGTGAGGCCACCCTAATTACATGTGTCCTTTAAGAGCAGAGAATATTTTTGGTTGACATGTAAGATAAAGTCAAGAGATCTAAAAGAGAAGAACTAGACACCGAATGACCTGAATTTAAGATGGAAGAGGCCATATGGAAGCAAGTGGCTTCTAGGAACTAAGAATGGCCAGTATCCAGCAAAGAAAGCAGGAGCTCAGTCCCACAACAGGCAGTACTTGAACCTTGCCAACAAGAATGAATTTGAAATCCCCTGTAGTCTCAAACCACGTGAACATTCAGCCCAGTCAGCATTCTGATTTTAGTGTTGTGATACGATACCCTCCACAGAAACACTGCTATATCACATAGAGTTCTGAAGTGCTAAACTGTGAACTAATCAAACAAAGAGACATTCATTTAGTCTAACTCTTCTGTTCACAGATGAAAAAGTTAAGGACAAGTAACTTGTTCAAGACTCCATGATGAGTGACAACAGAGGGCAGAAAAAACTCTTATCTGACATACAATCCTGGCAGAGTCTCTACTTTTTTACTTTCTTAAAGTTTAAATGAATCAGGCTTGGAGAGATGGCTCAGCGGTTAAGAGCATGGCTGTTCTTGCAGAGGGCCCATGTTTGAATCCCGACACCAACTTGGTGGCTAACAACCGTCCATAACTCCAGTTCCAGGGGATCTGACATCCTCTTCAATTCAGTCCCCTGGGAGCATTGCACGACATGGGTGCACTTGCATAATACACACAATACACAGATACACATAAAATAAAAATAAAGCAAAGAAATGTTCTAATGAATATTTATATATTTCTTTGTTAATGAGTTTTTCTGTATGAAACAGTATATTTTAATATTTGTATATTTCATATAAACACAGAGTAGCTTTCCCCCACCTACTCCAAATAAGTGAAATTTAATTATATTTACTCTAAGACTGGTTATTTACTTATTAAAATGAGTTTACACGGTCCCAATCATTGATAGTATGTTAGAATTAATACATATCTAGGAATAATTAAGGATATAAGCTTGATATGTATACAAAGAAGATATACTTTCTATTTCTTAAGTTTTTTTCAACAGGAAATAAATCCTACCTATAAGCTCATGACAGATAATTGCAAGATCAAAAATAAATTTATAGAGAAGGTAATACGGTCCATCATTAGGCATTAATAGGCATTTCAAAGGCTTTAAAACTGTTTAATCTCTCTTTTTGAATTTGAATTTAAATACAGTGAATGTGCTACAGAAAGCCTTTGATAAATTTACTTGCAGTACTGCACTGTGCCACCAGAGGGATCTCTGGCTTTTCCAGCAGTGCAAACTCTAAATTGAGATATTTCTAAGACATATTCCCTTGAAAAGGAATATTGGCTGACTTATGGTTTGGTTGGTAGACTTTCTCTCAGTGAGATTATCTAGAAACTGAGGTAAAAATGTTACTGTACTCTGTAATCCATAGAAATTCTTCTGGCCCACCCCTGTGAAGAGGGGTGAGAATACTTTCACTGAAAATGTGGGTTAAGTGTTAAAGGAGAAACTGAATTTTATTTGCAATCTGCCATCTATGGCCTGTGGTTCCTTCTTTAATGTCTCTGAGACATTATTCCTGATCTGTGAAGACAGGGTATACCATTACTGCTATTCTGAGGATTGAACTGAGACAGAACGTTGGAGTTTAACTTCTCCCTGAAAGGTGGAATTACCAACATATGGAATATTTTTATTCATATTGTTATGTATAACCAACACTTTTATAAAGAGATACTGAGATATATTTGCTTTGTAAAATGAACTTTGAATTATATGGTTGAAAATATGTTAGACAAAAATGTTTCCATGGCCAAATTTGAAGGCAGGTTATACAGAAACAGTAAATTTGAAAGTTCAAAGGTCTTATTTAACACAGCAGATATTATATTGATATCGATATAAATCAAAGTGTTTCAAATTCATTTATAAAAAACTTGGTATAGGCCCAGGGAGATGGCTCAGTAGGTAAATACTTACAAGCATAGGGATCTGAGTTCAAATTCTCAACACCATGTAAAAACTCAGTGTAGTGGTACACGCCTGTAACAACAATGCTTTGGAGTGGGGTAGAGATAGCAGATCGAAGCATATTGCTAGCCAGCCAGTCTAGCCTAAACAGTAAGAGACTCTGTCTCAAAAAATATATTGGGGAGCAATAAAGGAAAATATCTGAGGTCAACAACTGGCCTTCACATGTGCATGCACAGGCAAGCACACCTGTGTATACGCATGCACAAATATGAATACATAATGCATAAAGAAGTAAGTAAATATTCACTAGTGGTCACGTTACTTAAATAATTCACAGTTATATTTCTGCATCATATTCACCCTTTAGTGTTCTATTCTCTTCAGAGTCAAGCTTGTTAGTATTTCTTCCTCATTTTCTTATTTAGAAGGAATATCAGTTTTTCTGAAGTTTCATTTTCTGAAGGCAAAGTGCTTTATTTTCCTTATCAGTTCATAAATCAGAACAATCAGAAACTTGTAGATGTGATGAAGGGTAGGAGAGGACCCTGACAAATAGTATAATCAGCTTTATGGGCTTTTCTGGCTGATTGATTTTTTTTTTTGAACTATGCTAACGTATGTTTTTAAATGGAAATATACACCTGTCTGCACTGTCTTATATTGATCAAACTCTTGGACTATGGATACCCTGCAGAATGCCACACCTGCTGCTGCCTGTTGAAAAATAAAGACTCAAAAATCTTAATCAAAATACAGGAGAACAGAAATAGCAAGAGGATTTAGAATGCAATCCAGGGAAATCAAAGTGCCTGGCAGCCATTCTAAACAGCACCCAGTCTGCACTAGGCATTTCATCACGCTTGAAAGAAGCAAATTCAACTAAAAAATCAGACGTCCTGACAGTCACATGGAAAAGTGGTGGGTTTTAGAACTAGAAATCTAGATTCCTGCTTATAATATCTAGATACTGATTCTAAATAGCTGAGAAAAATATTATCATCTTCAGACAAATATCACATACTGAGGTTATATGGGTTGAAGATGCCAAGAAATACAACTTCCTTTACACATTTTTGACCAATTCATAAGCCACCACCTCTGTTAAAGAAGACTGTTGACTATGACCAGAGTCCTTCAAAATAAAATAAATTCTGGGGTCAAAAGTCTCTCATTTTATTGCCATGACTCTTCACCACCTACCATGTATGATATATTTAAAACTTTTATCTGAATCAAACCTAAGATGTTAAATATTTTTATTACTAAGAACTATTTAGTCAAAGACCTGGTAGAAATACAGATATACACAAGTTGTCAATTAAATTTACTTGGACTATTTACTTAAAACTCCCCAATATATTTACAGACAAATATTCCAGTCACCATTCATCAAAGAAGTTCATTTTGCACCAGTTCGAGACTATTACCAGTACCACAACTGGTCACACACAGACACTGTCTATAAATTACCCAGCCCTAAATGACACATTTACAATGTGACCTCTACACATAAGGCTCATGGAACAGAACAGAGGTAAAGAAGAGGACACTAGTGAATCTCTCAGTTCTCATTAGTGAAGCTCCCTCATGCAGTGGAGGATCAGGAACACAAAAGATCACAAATGGCGAAAGGGTAGAGATCAAGAGTCTGCTGAATGCTGGTCCTTGGACAGGAATCCTTTAATAAACTTTACTCACCCAAGGCTCAGGGACCATTGAGAAAGAGGGGGTGGAAAGATTATAAGAGCTAGGGAGGAGGTTCATGACCATATGGAAACAGAGTCCTACAAGCCCCTGGGAACCTGCTCATATGATTCTGTGGCAATGGTGTCAGCATACACAAGTCCCATGCAAACTCACGCAGACAATAACCAGAATATATATGAGAAAATGAACAGCAGATCTCAATCTTATCTGAAGAAATATTGGCAACTGATTGCTGCTAGGTGAAGAAGAGCTGATCTTTCTAAACAAGGGACTCTAAATAGGCTGACTAGACCTCAGTGGATGCACTGAGGAATGTCTAGGAACACTGACTTGACACAGTGGGCCTTAACAGGAATGACAGAGAATATGGGCTCCACTGGGGGGGGGGGGGCTATGGGAGGTGCCAGTAGGGACGGGCATATAAAGATGATTAAGATTGTTTGAGGTGTCCTGTATGAAATACACAAAAATTCAATAAAAACAAAGTTTAAAAAACTTCCCAGTAAAGTTCAAAATTACAGGATATTGTTCTATCTGCAGATAGAAGAGCATACTGCCTACAAGACCATATTCAGAGTCTTGGAATGGATGAAGTTCAAACAGGCCTGCAAGGTCATTTATTGGCCCTAAGAAAGTGATAACTTTTTCCCTTCCTCATGGTTTAGTTATAGGCTAACATCAGCCACTGTTTTCACAACCTGACAGAACAGGGTCAGAGACTTGGGAGCCCTGGAGGAAAAGGAAAAGAACAAAAACAACCTAAGACAGTGCGGCTGAAGAAGGCTAAAATGAAAATAGTAACACATAAGATGAAACACTGAAATAAAATTGTTCCGCTTCTGTTAGCACATAGAAAGTTGCAAAGCCTGTTTTCTCACTTAATTTTATTCAAGGTTTCAGTAAGTTTCCACCTTCCTATTTAGACCATGTAAGAAAATGTTCAAATAAACCAAAGGAAATATATACAATTATGTAACAAAGGAACATTTAACTAAGCAGACCCTCAAATCCACAATTCTGTTTTAGTACCAATTCACTCCTATACAACCTGGCACTCACCAATGGTGTAGAACCTCTTCAGTTCACTCCTCTTAGAAGGATGCTTCTGGGTATTTGCTGTGTTGTTCTGTTCTTCTTCGATGGTGGGGGTCTTGGGTGCAGGGGGCTTGCTGGCTTGTGGGGTTTGCTTTCCTGCACCAGCCAAAGGGTTAAACCCTGGAGCAGTAATATCCACTGACTGGGACTTTTTCTTTAACCTAAAGACAAAGAATACCACAGGCTGTGAGTACTGACTCAAGAGACGTTTGTTCCATGTCTGTCTCCATCATGACATTTTATTTTGCTAGATTTGGCTTTGAATGAGAACCAGGTCAACTCAGAAGCTACATGGTAAGAAATGCATTTGAAGCAGCTGTGGTGGTACACACCTGTAATCCAGGACCTGTGAAACTAAGACAGAAGGATCCTGAGATTGAGACTAGTCTGGAAGATACAAGAAGACACTCTCTCAAAACAAACTGCATTTCACCTTTCAAAACTATTTTTATTAATTTTTTGAGATACATATAATATATCTGGTCATATTCAGACTGTACCCCCATTCCTCTCTTACTTTAACACAACCCAGTACTTCATTTCCTATATTATTTTTCCTTTTAAAACATTTATTTTCATTTTTGTTTGTGAGTGTTTTGCCTACATGTATGTAAGGACACCTATGGGTGCAATGCCTGTCAAGGCCAGAAGAGGGGAACAGATCCTCCTCTTGAATTGGAGTTAAGGTCAGGTGTTGGCTACCATGTGGATACTGGGAACTAAACTAGTGCTCTTAACTGCTGAGTATCTTTGCAGCCCATTATTTTTCTTTTTAAAAGGCCTATGGACTCTAATTTGTATTTCCCAAATGTTTTTGGGTAGGAGTGAATCTATCCCTCAGAGCCTGGCATTACACCTTCTTGGAAAATGACTCTCACTTTCCCAGCATCTATCAATTGACAATAGCTTCTCAGCTAGAGCTGGGGGATTCTGCCCACCTTAAAAGGAGTATTTTTATAAAATGTAGTTAAATAATTGCAATTCTGTAATGGATAATGAATGGCTGTAATTATATTTAACTATGGGCAACTAATACTTTTCTTTTTTCTTTTAGCATTTCATTACAGTTTTAATATATTCAGTAACACACTCCAGAGCAAGAGTACATCTCTTTCACAAGTGGCTGTAAGCTGCTAGGTTCACAGTCATATTAATACAGATATATAATATTGACCTCAGTATAAGCCCTGTAAGACATAAAATTGAAGGAGTTTTTAACCTTTAAAAAAGATCTCCATTTCTTAGAATATATTGTTCCTTGCAGAAAGACTCATTGTTTTTGGTAGACACTGAGATGTTGGCGCATGCATCTCTAATCTGTATTTATCTGATCATTACTAGTCATAATCCATAGCACTTGTATCCTTGGCACCTGTGTATGTCTATAAAGTTATCTGATAGATTTCATTGATAATGTTTATCACCTTTACCAATTAACATGACATAAATTTCCATGTTTCTTCTTCAAATATAATTTTTTAAAATTTGTTGATTTGTGTGTGTGTGTGTGTGTGTGTGTATATCTGACAGAACATCCCAAACGATCTTATTCAACTATACACTCACTTCCCAGATGGCACCCTCCCATAGCCTCCCTCCCCCTCATTAGAGCCCTTATACTCTGATATCCCTGCTACTGTCTGCTGTGTTGTCAGTACCCCCAGCCATTCCCCACTACTTGTCCATCAGGTAAATCTAGTGAGTCTATCTAGAGGTCTTTGTTTTAGGAAGCTCAGCTGTTCCTCATCTAGCAGAAATCGGTTGTCAAAATTCCTTTAGATAAGATTGGGGTCTGCGGTTCATTTTCCCAGTTCTATGCTAGTTTACTATCTGGGAGTCCCTTTGGCCACCCTGGCCAACAACGCAAAAGAAGATATTTCCAATCTGGCATTGTTGCTTGTTTCATAGCCTTTAGCTATACATATGGACTTTTAAAAATTGTATTGGCCCCTTTAATCTTTGGTTATACTTTCCTTTAGGGTGTTTAAGGCCATACAGTTTGCCCAGATAAACCAGTTTATTTTTACTCTTAAGGTCGTTTGAGGATCTGTTACTCAGGGGTCACATGGGCTTTGGAGGAGCCCCGGCTCCTTTCTTTTACCAGTTCCTCCTATATGAAGATAAGTCAAAAGTCCTGCTTGACCATGGCTGGCTTCTCTTGAAAGCATGGAGGAAATGATTCCTCTGTGTTGACCCTCCTCTTTGTAGAATGGACACTGGTTCAAATCTATCTGGTTAGGTCTCCTTGGCCTCCTGGATCAAGAGGACATGTGACCAAGAATTACAGGACATTTTGAGAGATGCTTGTAGTCCCCTGGAACTAGTGGACCTAGGAGGACATGGAGCAAAAACTGTCCTTTATGTTCCTCTGACCAAATTATTATAGGCCTCAAAGTATGTCTGTTGAACATCCAAGAAGGTTAGTTGCACTAGTCTGGTACTTTTAATTACTTTGTGTCACGTAGATAAATCTTGGGCAAAGACCAATAGTTCTCAGACATATATTTCTTGATCTGGTATGTACAATATCTCAGTAGGTTGTTGGAGTAATATGGTTCCCTCTGGTTTTTAAAGCTAGCTTGGCATTATTTATCTCTCAAATTATCTCACCCCTCCACCATGGATTCCCCAATTAAGGTGCCCCCATTCCCCCCCCTTCTCCCTCTCCTATGGTCCTACCTCTCTTGAAATCCTTCTTTCCCCTTATCCCCTAGGTTCCTTGTATACCCTTCCTTCCCCCCTCCCTTAAACTAACCCAATTTTTATCCATATCTCCCTTATTAAGGTCTGTTTCTACTGTTCTTCTCTTTCAGGTTCTTTGTTTTCCTTTACCTTTCTGTTTCCTTTCCATTATCCTGGTTCCTGTAGTTATGTCTGGATACACACTCACTTAGCAGGGTTTGGTTCTAGGATCCACATATGAGGGAGAACTTACGTTGATTTTTTTCTGAGTCTGTGTTACTTCACTTAGCATAACAGTTCCTAGTTCCATCCATTTACCTGCAAATTTCATGATATCTTCTTTCTTTACTGCTGAGTAAAACTCCATCATATAAATGAACCACATTATCATTATCCACACGTCAATTGAGGCACACTTAGGTTGCTTCCATCTCTTAGTTATTGTGAAAAGAGAAGCAACAAACATGGATGTACAAGTGTCTCTGCATTAGGATGAGTTCTTTGAGTATATGCCAAGGAGTGGTATAACTGGGTCAAATGATAGGTTCATTTGCATACATTTAAGAGCTTTCCACACTGCTTTTACAGTTTGCAGCCCCAACAACAGTGGATGAGTGTTCCCCTTTCCCCACATCCTCTCCAACATTTGGTATCATTTTTTCTCTTTATCTTAGCCAGTTTGAGGTAAGAAGAAATCTTAAGGTGGTTTTAATTTGCATTTCCCTAATAATTAGTGATATTGAACATCTTTAAGATGCTTCATAGCCATCTTTACTTCTTTTGAGAACTCTCTGTTCAGCTTCTTAGCCCATCTTTTAATTAGGTTTCCTCTTGTCCTGATTCTCTGTTTTTTGAGTTCGTTATGTATTCTGGATATTAAACCTCTGTCGGATATGTTGCTGGTGAAGATTTTCTCCCATTCTGTGAGTTTTCTGTTTGTTTCCTTGGTTGCCTCCTTTGAAGTACAGAAGCTTTTTAGTTTAATGAGGTCCCATTTGTTAATTCTTGCCCTTGTTTCCTGAGCAATTGATGTCCGGTTTAGAAAATCCTTTCCTACACCTATATATTGTAGATTATTGCCAAAGTTTTCTTCTAAAAGTTTCAGAGTTTCAGGCTTTACATTGAGGTCTTTGGTGCATTTGGAATTGACATTTTTGAAAGGTGAAAGACAGGGGTTTAGTTTCATTCTTCTACAGGTGGACATCCAGTTTAGCCAGCACCATTTGCTGAGCATGCTGTCTTTTCTCCAGTGACTGTTCTTGGCCCCTTTGTTAAATATCAGGTGGCTGAAATTGCATGTACTCATATTTGGGTCTTTAATTCTGTTCCATTGATCTATGGGTCTATTTTTGTGCCAGTAGCATGTTGTTTTTATGACTATAGCTCTGTAATGCAGCTTAAAATCTGGTATATTAGTCCCCCCGGCATTGCTCTTAGTGCTCAGGGTTGCTTTGGCTTTCTGAGGTCTTTTGTGCTTTCATATGAATCTTAGGATGTTTTTCTCCAATTCTGTGATGTCATGGGGATTTTGATTGGTATTGCATTGAATCTATAAATGGCTTTTGGCAGGACGGTCATTTTCACAATATTAATTCTTCCAATCCATGAGCATGGGAGAGGTTCTTCCATCTTCTGATGTCTTCCTCAATCACTTTCTTTAAAGATTTAAAAATTTCATTGTAGAGATCTTTAATGCCTTTAGTCAGGGTTATTCTGAGATATTTTATTTTTTGCAGCTATTGTGAAGGAGAGTGTTTCCATGTGCTCTTTCTCTGATTGTTTTTTATTGGTACATATGTGAGTTTTGTAACCTGCCACTTTGATGAACATGTTAATAATTTCTAGGTGTTTTCTGATGGAATTTTTGGTGTTTCCTAGATATAATATGATATCATCTGTAAAAAGGGATAATTTGATCTCTTCTTTTCCAATTATTACTCCTTTAATTTCCTTCTCTTGTCTTATTGATCTTGCAAAAGTTTCAAGCACTGTTAAAGAGAAGTGGAGATAGTGGACAGCCTTCTTTAGTTCCTGATTTCAATGGGAATGATTCCAGTTTTTCTCCATTTAGAATGATATTGGCTGTGGGTTTGTTATAATGGCTTTAATAATGTTGAGGTATGTTCCCTCTAGTCCAGTGCTGTCTAGGACTTTGAACATAAATGCATGTTGAATTTTTTCAAAGGCCTTCTCTGCATCTATTGAGAGGACCTTGTAGTTCTTGTCTTTGAACCCATTTATATGATTTATGACATTTATCGACTTAAGCGGTCCTGGCTTTTTTTAGTCAGGAGGTTTTGTATTACTGTTTCTATTTCTTTTTGTGTTATGGTTCTGTTTAAGCTGTTAATCTCTTCTTGGTTTAGTTTTGGTGGTTCCCATGCCTTTAGATATCTGTCCATTTCTTTTAGGTTTTCAAATTTAGTAGCATATAGGTTTTTAAAGTATTCCCTTATAATGTTCTGTATCTTTCTGGTGT